TTTTTAATCTTTCTTTATATATGTATATATATACAAATCGAGGTACACAATCAAATACAAGACGGTCATAGATATCGTTAGAACTCGGTTCGATTAAAATTAGGTGTGAGCGTAATTAATGGAAACGCAATCGAGGGATTTGTATGATACAATTGACGCGCGAACGATGACAGGCTAAAATATTTTTACGCGTGAAAGACGTTATTGTATTCTCCTTTCTCTTTCTCTCCTCGCGTGCACACATTCACGCACATATCACACACTCTTTCATTCATTTTTCATTTGCCCTTTCTCTCTCTCTCTCTCTCCGTTGCAGCGGCACATGATCGAACGAAATTTTCGCTCGCAAGACACGCGGCGAGTATTCATGCGATTAAAAAATATAGAAAAGGCCTTAAAGCGGGTATTAAGTTGACTAAAAAACGAACGATAATACAAAACACATATTATCGTGGAACGAACCACGTCTTTCAGAAGACGATCCGCGGGATCACAAGGATAAAGAGAGTGCGTGCAGAAACGTACGCGTGCGAATAAAAAAGAAAAAAACGAACATCGTTATGATCGAGGGAGGAGATTATTTATGCATATATGCGTGCGTGCGTGTTCGTGAGTGTACGACACACTTTTCTTTTTTCTCTTTCTTTTTTTGTACAGAGTATTTTTCATTTTCATCGTACAAACGTCGTCTTCTAAGTGTCATTGATAATTCTACGAAATTCTATCGGCAGCATACTTATTTTCGATCCTCGTATATCTGCCGTTTCTTTCATTTCTCGTTTTCTTTTAGCTTCCTTTCGGACACGGAGATGTTGTTTACACGACTATCGATCTTACATTCGCGCGCACTGTGTGTTTCATCGAACCGTGAACACGATCGCTTCGCACACTCGTCGTGTCACATACGTACGTACGTATGTACACGTTCGATATAAAAAAAAAAAAATTGAAGAAAGAAGAAGACAGAAAGAGGACAAAGTAAAAAAAAAAAAAAAAAACCGAGCGAGACACGTACTCGATATTGATTTCATTGACGCGCACCACGCAGGGGATTAAGAATCATATTGCATGTTGTTAAAATCATACGGTTCAGTCGCTGTCATATCTCGCGTGAAGAAAAAGGCCAGCAGCAAGCTTTTTCGCAAACAGATCAGTCCGGCCGTGATACAGTGGCACTGTTCCGCTGGGAAAACCGCCACGATTCCTATTCCCTTTCTCGCTTCTTCTTTTTTTCAATTTTATTCCCATTCCTGCGACCGAGATCTTAAAGTTACGTTCGAAAAATCAATCGGACCTTGCGAATCCGACGCGTGCACACGTTTTTTTCGGCCAATAAAGCACACAGCGTTTCGCAGCGAATAAAAAATGCACGCTTCGTTGGACGCGAAATAAAAGTCGTGATACGCTACGGCCACACGATCAATTGGTCGTTCCCTCCGGAAGAGAGACGCGGGTTAAAAATAAATACACATCGAAACGCATCGTTCTCGTCGCTAGATTAAATAGAAAAGGAGGAAAAACAAGAGAGGAAGAAGAAAAAAACAAGTAAAAAAAAAAGAAGGAGATACAAAGGAAGAGAACCGTCGGCGAGAAACAATCTACAGTCTACAAGGATATTTCATTCTTTCCCCGTTATTTCTTCCCTCCTCTTTTTCCTTCACCTTCATTTCCATCTCTCGTCTTCTCGTGGCAACACCTCGATACAACGTTACAACTCTCCCGCACCACTCATCCCTTATCTCTAGTATTACGGCTTATAATCGGTTATCACTATTCGCTTAACTTATTACTTCATTGTTACGTCTTCTATAGCTCGAGCCCTTTCTAGCGGTTTTTTTTTTTCTTTTTTCTTTCGTTTTTCTCGGGCGTGTGTCCGTGAGGATCGCTAAACAACACGAATTTTTCACCTGACGAGCGTTGGTTCGCCGCTACGTTCGTTTTTCTCTTACTTTTCTTTTTTTTTTTTTTTTTTAAGGAACACGATGACGATGACGATGACGATTGCGATTGCGATTACGATTACGATGGCGACGAGGTTGGTAGATGACGATAATTGCGAGATATACGGCTGGGCAAGCGAAATGGCGAAAGAGAGGGGAAAAGAGCGGTGGCATCGGGGATTCACCGGAATGGCGAGAATCGGAAAGAGGGAAGGTCACGGAACGAGGCAGCCGCGTTCAACGAACTTACTGCCGCGCTGATCAGTTCGATAAATCCGCGTCCCCGCGGAGCTTAATTCGCCAACTCCGTCATTACCGTGCACAAACGTTTATAACTAGACTGCGGATGTTCGTGCACGAAAAAAAAAATAAAAAAAGAAAAAAAATATACGCAATTACGCACGAAAAGATATGCAAATACCGCGTCTCGCTTTTGACGGGGATTTTTTCCCCTACCGTTTCGTCCATATTTGCCTATTTTTCCGTGCATATTTGCTTATTGCTTCACGTGCACGTGCGCACACGCCTTGTGCATTTACAAATATGTACGAAAAGTAGGCAAATATGCAAATGTGCGAAACTTGCGTGTGCAAATATGCACGAAAAATATGCAAATATGCACGAACAGTGGGGCAAATACGCTGTTAATGAATACGTTAAATTTTTAAGCAACTCGCGCCACCGTTGCGACACACGCTCTAAGCGATTGCAATTGCAACAATGATCGTTTTCATTTGTTATTTGCATCGCCAGCGTCGCGCAATTGTTTGGCGATTTTATTCATCTACGAACCGCAGCCAAATCACAGTGACACGGATACAAAAGCGACGTGTAACGCGTGCACGTGTGCATATGCCTTTTCACGAAAATATGTGAAACATGTTGTTCAAACATCCACAGTTTATTTATAACTTATAAATAATACACAAATCTGTATGTACGTGTATCAATTAACCAACTAACTGTCACAGCCCTCGGTTTCGGGAATAAAAAGCGATCAAAGGAAAGCTCCAGTTCAAAAATACAACACTTCGACCAAGTCCATTGATTAAATTTTGTATAAAATTATGCAAAAGTTTCGAGAGAGAGAGGCCGCACGACAGTTAATGGGTTAATTATACGCGCGTTTGATCGAAGATTACAGGAAAGAACATGGCGAGCACATTTTTGTCACTTCACGACTGAGAAGAAATATTTTATGGAAAGAAAACACGTTCGATCCAGTGAAAAAGTGATTAACATCTTGTCTCCAATGTTTGAACGTCTTTCGATATATTTCTAGTCGAGAAATATACGAATTTTTACAATTTTAACAAAATTAATTGGCAACGTACCGAGGTTCGCAACACGGAAAATGCGACCCGTCATATTCTTCGCCGGCAAATTGTAATAATCGTGGCAAGATTAGTTCACTGCTTTCGTTTTCGTTGGCGTTTTACCTCTTACAGTCTCAGTTTGTTCATCGGGAAATCGGTACAGCACAATGTATAAATATCAAGGTAACGTTACAATATGCTCGATGTAACCGAACGTTCCTATTGCTTCCGTTTCAATCTATTCGATTCGAGTTCTCGAATATTTACAACGATTTATGAAATCGTCTCGTCTTTCGCTTTTGAATAATTCAGAGGGACAAACACTCGGACAGACTAGAGATCAACAATTTTCGACTTTTCTTTTTTTTTTTGTATAGAAAACGACTTTCCTCCAATATGCATATTAAAATATACCGTGATACAACACACTGTCCTGTGTATTATACATTGTATCGTACGCACGTATATAATATACGTACGTGTTTATGTATGTATATATATATATATTAATAATAATAATAATATATATTATTATTAATAATAATAATAATATATATATATATTATCCACAGAGAATGTACTATAATACGCGTATTACATACGCATAATAAAAACACTTAACAATGAGTTGGATGACACATTTTCGACGTTTTATTCTGCTACATTCTTCGGACCTTTCGTTATTACACTGTTTACAAACAGTATCTAGTATCACGGCCTTTATCATTTTTCGTACATACAGCACATCTTCTCAATCTTTTGTTTCCTTTCGTTTTATCACTATTGTGCTGGGAAATGTCTTACTGTAAGACGCGAGGAATTTTCAGAATTGACGACTATCGGCCAGAGTCGACGATGATACCGAAGTGTTTAACGAGTTTTAGAGACAATATTGAAAGAATCGTCACCCCACGTGTGATTTATATCTTAAAACTTTCGAACCATTTTTGCTCGCTAAAACGACGAGCAATATCAGACGACATAAAGATCCAAAGACTCTAGCAGGGTTTTTACAAATGCAACCCAGGTAAACGAAATGTAATCGTACGATTTCCAAGCACACGGAAATCCGATCAATTTTCATTCTCGATACGATGAAAAGTTACTGTTCTGCTTTTCTCTCATTTCTTAATTTGTTCTTTGCTGCAATTCGTACAATGAGTACAATGTTTCATACCTCTATCTCTTCGCGAGCGATCGCTTCTCATTTCGAAGACGGCTATAACGGCGGGTGGAAATCGGCCATTTGCTCGGGAATGCACAAGTTCACCGAGTTCGTTCCCTCTGTTCCGTTCTTTCTCTTTTTTTTTATTTTTTTTTCTTCCGATCGATCAAACCGTTTTCCCCCCGGTTAGTTCTTTTGTCGTGTGTCGAAACGGCCGCGCGTCCTACATTTCCGTGTGTTCGTACAAGCCGAGGAAGAGATGCATAACGGACACGATACTACGTATCCGTGCACAGCGGTTGGGGCGGCCGGTTGTTAAGCTTCAATATGCATTTCCGCCAGGTGACTATCGTGAAAATCTGTGACACAGTGTTTATTTTTTAATTTAAGCAGCTTTCGACTTCACCAGCTTCCTTTTAGGAAATTCATCATCCGAGCACAGCAAGAATGGTAAAAATATGTCAAATAACTCTTGATCCGCGTAGAATTGCGTTTCATTGTCTTTTAAGGTTGTCTCGTAACGTTATTTTGCGAATATCTATAATGCATGCAATGGTTTCAATATCTTCAACCCCCCCTATAATTCGATAAATAAGAATTGATCGTAGCTTTTAATTTCAATCTGAAATCTAATAATTGTTGTAAATGCATCATTTGCTGTTGGTTTGCATTGATGAAATACAATACGACTGTAGTAAATTATGTATATAACACTATATATATATATATATATATATATAGTATTATATAATTATACGTAATTTCCAAGTTACTGTTGTAAATAAATCGGATTGGCATTGATACGACCAATGAAACACAATATTGCGAAATATAACAAAACAGATGAAATAATACGCGAGGATGTACTTTTCAACTGATCGTCCGTAAAGGGTTTCGCGAGAGGGTTTATAAATACTCTATTCGTACAATGTTTCATACCTCTTTTATTTCATTACTCTTCTATCACTGTCCCCTTCGTCATCGAATAATATTATTTATGAACCGACTGTTATTGCCTTCGTCCGACAGTAAATATATTTCAAACATTGTATATAAATAAATTTACGTAAAAAAAAATCTTTATCGCATAATCTTACATAACTTTAACATAAAGTTTATAAAAAAAAAAAAAAAAAAATAGCAACAACAAACATCGCACCAAAAGATTGAAAATTTTGTGCGAGTAAGAAACATTTATGACTGATCAAATGATCCGTAGTCCGAGTCTAAAAAGAAAAAAATTGATCATAGAGGATTAAGACACATTAATAATCGAAATCTTTCGTTTCATCTTTTCGTGGATGAATTTTCAAGAGCAACTAAATATAATAAAATGCAAGGTAAGAGCGTGCGAGCAATCTCGTGCGTATCTGCTTTTCTCTCTCTCTCTCTCTCTCTCTCTCTCTGCGGGCTTTTTATTACGAGAAGAGGAATCTTCGAGCACGCCTTCCAGACAATCGGAACACACCCTCGTTTGCCTTGAGTTAAAGCCTCGGCCTTGAAACAGTCCGCGCTTACTACATCTCGGCCAGTGTATATAACGTTTGCAAGCCCAAAGCTATCGTTTAAAGATGATTGGCGACGAGACGCGTTGCGCGAGTGGTAGAAGCAATTAAAACGAAAGAAGAGAAGAAAGACAAAGGGAGAGAGAGAGAGAGAGAGAGAGAATCGCTTGTCATATTTTACATTTCTCATAATCTCTTTCTCTTTCTCCTTTTTTCCCTCTTAAAAAAATTGATTAAAAAGAAGAAGAAGAAGAAGAAGAAGAAGAAAAGGTGGAAGAAAAAAGCGATATTGAACGAATCTTTGCGCAATTTTCTTCGAGATCAATCGATAATGTACACACGATTACATTGAGCCGAAGTTTCCACCGACAACGAACGCGGACTACACGTTTTTTGATCACAGTGAAGCACAGTGAGTGATCGATTAAATTAAGTCTTACGTAAACACTCGAGCGATCTATATCTCTGGTTAATATTACAGAACGAAGCTTCATTAAATGGCAAACGCTATTCATCTGCCTTTTTCTCGTATCTCTCGTGTTTCTTTCTTTCTTTTCTCTCTCTCTCTTTCTTTCTCTCTCTCTCTCTCTCTCTCTCTCTCTCTCTCTCTCTTCTTAGTTTTCCTTTCTCCGTGCGAGAATCGAGTGTGAGAGAGTGCTAACTATTTATTTGCAACAATGAAACGTTCCATGAGCACGTTCGACGCGTTTATCACGATAATCCTTGTGCGAACGCGGCGACGACGACGAGGACGCCGCTGAAATTTTCGCTGGGGAGAGACTAGGGTCGTAAATAATACACGCGATCACTTTTTCTGCGTCATCTACGAGAGAAAAAACGAGGGCCCGATGGAACGTAGTATGGTAGGATGGTATTGGCAGTGGTATTGACGATCGATCGTTGGATCACGCGCGGACGTAACGCGAAAAATCCAGGTGAAACGAAATCCGACGCGACCACGAAAGATCGATTGGCGGATGCTTGTGTTTCCTCTACGTTTCTCGGCCAGCGGATGGACGAGTCTTTGCATGTTGCGTACACAAGAAAAGGAAAAGAAGAGAAGAAAAAAAAGGAAAGAAGAGACGAACCGATATGTATATACGTTCGTTTTCTCATAAACTTGCAAAATCAATCGAAAATCACGGGGACTCGTGGTTTTCACGAAAGAAATTGAAAACAGAAGGGGAAACGAAAAGAGGAACCGTGAAAGATACGTGCTGCTCACAAAAATTAGGGGACATTTCAAAATGAATACGAAACGATAAAAAAAAAAAAGAAGCATTTGATTTTTTTTATTAAACACGCATGCTTCTGCTCACCCGCACCAAATATGTCGCTTGCCACTCAAACGATAATTGAGTTTGCATCTCATTTACATGATCGAACAACTTTCGTTGACTTGTCGTTTACTTTTTCTGATGTTCTTGCTTAATAAAAGAAAAATCATTTTGAAACTGAAAATAATTTTTGTGAACAGTGTACTGTACAGAGTGTTTTAAAATAAGAATTAGACGCTTGACCGTCTCTGTCGTTTCTGGAGATACGAAGGAACTTCATTCACAAAAATTTGTTTAGTGTGAGGTATAGAAATTATTTTTGTACCTTAATTCTGTAAACTCTGTCGTATAAAAGACAAAAAAAAAAAAAAAAAAAAAGGAAACAACGGTATTCTTGTGTTCATATTGTCCTTGTCTTTCATGCACAGACTTTGCAAAACTAAAGTTAAAATAATCTCCTAAACCAATAATATTTCTACATATTTTTATACATATTATAATACATATTTTCATATAATATGTTTATTATATAATATATATTTTTACGTAAAAAAACATACGATTCCATTTAAAAGAATGAAACTGATCTCAAAATCCTTCGAAACTCTTTCAACTACGAAAAATTCATATTGCCACATCACAGCCACCTTTACACTGAACAATTTTTCGTGAATAAAGTTTCTTTCTTAGGCAAACAGCGAAGGCAATCAAGCGATAATTCTTACATTGAAAAAAATTCTGTACATACATTGTGTAATGTCGTGCAACCGTTTTTATTGTGAGACCGTTTTGTTCACTCTCATTCCCTGTAACATTTTACTTTTCTTCTTTTTTCTTTTTCTGTTTCTTTCTTTTCTTCAGTTGACTACTTCTTACTACGCGCGTATCTTTTTAATAATCGTAGCGATATTTTTCCCCCTTCTTTTTCTCTCTCTCTCTCTCTTAATTAGAGCGTTACAACGTATATAAACGCATTTCATATACATGTACATGTACATATATTTATATTTATATTTATATTTATCTATGTTCATCAACGTGAACCCCCAATACACCTAAAATTCCATATCACAAGATATCCTGTTCAATATCACGATTTAATAATCTCCGTTAGTTTCTCACTGATTGTTCCCCCCCCCCCTCTCCCTAAAATTTGTTTCTTTTTCTCGACTGCCACATCGTAACTCATTTCGTCGTTGGCTAATTTATTGCCACCTTTTTCTTTTTCGTTCCCCTCTCGTTCGCCACCTTCGACAGCTCTACTTCCCCTCCTCCCTTCTTCTATTATACTTTTACGCTCAATGTCACGCAATGTCACGTCCGTTCTCTCCTCGGTCCTTTTGATCCACGTCGCTTCATCCGCGTCTCGCGCACGTTTTTCCCTCCGTTTCGCGACAACGACGACGACGACGAACGTCATTCAGTCATTCGACAACGAGGAACGCTTCAATCGGTTCCTTCGAGCAAAACTAAAATTAGCACGAGTTCGCTTTGTGCCAGGGTCGCAGCCAGATGACACGGCTCCACAGGATTCTCTTTCGAGCGATTCGTCGCGCACATCGATGCCCGCCATCGTTCCTCGTCCGGCGTTCTCCAATTTTCTTTGAAAATTCCATCCCGTCCCCGCCCTAGAGTACTGGCGAGCGCGATTCTCGTCCCATCGATATCCGATTGCAAAACAAATCTCCAATGCGACTTACGTTTCCAACGCGAGACGAGACGAAAGTTCCAGTTGCGAAGCTCCGTTTTCTCCGTTGTTCGACGCGACAAATGCGTTGGGATTAGGGGATGCAGGATTTCGCGTCTTTTGTCTCCGGTTTAGCAGAGTTACAACACAAACGCTGATAAACGACGAACGACGGTGAACGCGTAATTCGCGAGAGAGAAATTCAGGGCAGTTGTCAGGTTGCGAGGGACGAATCGATCGGACGAATGTTTCGCGGCGGCGAGGATTTCGCCACGGGGGTTGAAAGAGACTGTGTTTCACAAACGAGGAGAGCTGGAAAGAATTAAGCTAAGTCTAATTAAAAGTTCACACTTGGAGATGATAAAGAAGCTGTCGAGAAAGTTCAAAGGTGAATTCGAACTCCAACGTCCGACATATTCAGAGCTGTTATCGTCAAAATGCTGGTCGCATAAGCTGGTGATGTATGCCGTGCATTTATGTCGAGCTCATTTTTCATTTCAGCGCAGCTCTTAGTCACGGGTATTCATTCGCGATTAAAATTAAAATTCGTAGTGTCGCTTGAAAATAATTTAACGCGGCTGAAATATTTTCGTTTGAACATTGAACCGAAAAGAGGAAAAGATGAGACATCGGAAGAAAACGTAAAAGGAGGGAAAAAAGGAAAAAGCGTGGATATTCGATTGTTATTAATTTTCCGTGTTTTACGATCGTCATTTAATCGACATCTCGACTCAAGCTGAAAGACAAGTTCAATCGCCTTTCATCAACAATTACGCAGACCTGGCCGAAATTTATTTCGAATAATAATTTGTAAATAAATTTTTGAAATAATGTTCTCCTTTTATTTGGCAAATAATGGATTTCAATTAATGGTATGTAGCTCATTTGACCAACTGAAGGAATTTGAAGCTATGCAAATAATTGAAAATTTGTCTTTAAAATAACATTCAAAGTAAGTGTCAATGAAATCAAAATGCTCAAGTGAACAAAAAAAAAAAAAAAAGAATAATCAATGGAAATCAAAATGAAACTCTAAATAATTGATCAATGTGTGTTATCACGGCAGAAATTTGTCTTAACTTTTAATAGGATTCGTTTCTCAAACATTTGATCCTTTAATAAACAAAATTTAGGAAACATTTAAAGTTGCAAATGAAAATAGTCTTTTTACTTTCTACCTGACGAAGACGAGAGGGGAGTTGTTACTATCGTCACCAAAACAAAGCCATTTCAACTTGTGTACCGTAGTTGCAGAACAAGAAATAGTAAATATAAGTTATTTCTATCAAAATAAAGATCCTGGCAATTAGTAAACAATTTATCTCGCAAAATGACAAATAAATCATTTAATTGGAACTAAATTAATTTGATTTTCGTATGAAATACTCGACAACATAATTTTATTTTACAAATAGTATTCGTTATTCTGAAGTAACAAGTAATTTGAGAACAATGTTATTTGAAAATTTTTCAAAACGCCCAGGTCTGCAATTATGCCCGATGGAAAATCAACTTTTTCCTTCTGCTCTGATATTGATAATATTACAGAGGAATCATCTGACCTAAAAAGCTTCTCGAATGACTATATTCAGCGAGGCGCATGCCCTTTGATTATTAGATTTCTCGGTTGAACGTGAAAGGCTCCCCCGTATCACGGCGCCTCGGTAATGTCTAGATATCCACGAACGAGCTTCGTCGAGCGGATCCTTCCCCTTGCTGCCATAGAGAACAGCAACGCGTCAACTGAATAAACCTCTCGACTGCTACTTCTCACCTTCGGAGAATCGATTCATCGACGTGGCGCAAATCTTTGGTTCTCCTGCTTCCCTTGGCACAATAACCTCGGTGATCATCTTCTCCCCCTTCCCCTTCTATTTTCACGATAATAGGACGCAAAGGCGACGCGCGGTAGACACGAACGAACGAACGAACGAATAATACACGCAACATGTCTCAACGTACACGTACATAGTGTACAGGGGAGGCATCTTTGCGAATCGTATCGAATGGTTGACCACAAAAGTGAATACCAAAAGCAATCGTCCTCGATTAAGCGCGACCAGATCGTGCAACGCCTCCTTTTCTCTGGACAAGTGAATTGAAGAGAAACGCGAAGCAACGTCGCCAAGTTAGGTGAGGTACATGATTCGAGGTATCGCGGATCCGATTTTCTCAGTTTCTTCGTCACTTTTCACCAGTCCTTTCTTTTCTTTTTTTTCGTTTTTTTTTTTTTGTTTCTTTTTCATTTTTTTTTCTCTTTTTTTTTTCGTAGTAACATATCGCGTAGATCACAGTAGTATCCGGAGGTCGAAGACGAGGCCACTCTCTCTCTCTCTCCCTTTCTCTCTCTCTCTTTTGACTCCGAGGAATATTCTCTCGCAGAGCGACTATATTACCACAGGCAGGAACCTACCGTTAGTAGTCTCGGTATCGTTTCAACGACCATCGAGACAGCTGAATTAATCCAACGAGTCAACGAGACACGAGGCCAGGCTAGTTACAGCGTCGACAAACAGCGTTAGAAAAAGATAGCAAGCGAGACCTCGTATTTCATATGAAACGTCCCGGTTCCTCGAGGATATCCTTGCTAATCATTGTCCACCGCCTCGAGCCACTCGAGGAACGATATGCTCCATCCGTTGGATCCGTGCGATCCATGAGTACCATGAGATCCGTGCGATCCATGCGACCCATGCGAGCCATTATTGTGCTGTTGTTTCCCTTGCAATTGATGACTATGCTGCTGTTGCTGCTGCTGTTGTTGTTGCTGCTGCTGCTGCTGCTTCTGCTGTTGCTGTGGTTGCGGTTGTTGTTGCGATGGCTGTTGTTGCTGTTGACCACCAGCAGTGCTACAACTACTACCATCACCACCACCACCACCACCGCCACTACTAGCATCGCCACTAACAACAGAGTTGAGGGACGTGTGACTGCTAATGCTCCCCGTCAGATGATTCGTTGGATGACCTCTTCCTCTTGGTCTTCCGTCGTTACGCTGCAACGCCGTATAAATGGTAGACATTGTCTGGAAGATGTCGTTCAGCTGTTTCACCTTGTTCTCCGTGTCGTTGTTGGCCTGCACGGTTGTGTTCGACTTGGTCGAGCTCTTCCGACCGGACGCGGAAGTACGGAGGCCGGACGCTGATGTAGGCGGCGCCGCGGCGGCTGCCGGCAACGCTGGTAAAGCGTCGTTCGTTTTCTCTGGAAGCTCTGGTAACCTACGGCGCAGCCATACGTGTCTCAACGCTTTGCCAGGTGTCATCCGTTGCTCCGGGTCCCATTTCAGGCAGCGATGAATGAAATCCAGGAAATACGGGTCGTCGCAGGTTTTCAACACCTGTCGGAGATTCCTGGAGCCCGGCGGCCCACGGTCTTTCCCTTTCCTGGAGAAACCGCCGTTCAACACGATCGACCCGTCGGACGTCGTCGTGACGGAGCAGTACCGCGGATAACCCTTCGAGCTGATGAACTGCTTGCGCCGTTTCGCGGATTCCAGCAAATGCGGCGGCGGCATGCCCAGCAGCTCGATGATACAGGCCAGCTGGTCCGCCTCGTCTTCGCCCGGCAGCAACGGGAAACCGGTGACCAGCTCCACCAGGATGCAGCCGAGGCTCCACATGTCGATCGGCATGCCGTACTTAGCGCCGAGGATCACCTCCGGGGCGCGATAAAAGCGGCTCTGAATGTACGTGTAGACGCGTTGGTTCTCGTAGCAGCTCGAACCAAAGTCTATCACCTGGAAAAACGTGAAATTTTTATTTTACAGATTTCGCAACGGGACGAACGAAGGCGAGAGACATGTGCCTTTATGTTTGTAACAGCGATGGAGTGAACTACCGTTTGTAACGTAAAAATGAAAATTTTATATTTGAAGTTTATAATTCAAAAAGCACTACTCTGCCATTAGTTAAAATCTATAAAAATATTTTTTATTATTTATTTGTAATCGTCAGAAATAATCATTAGTTAAAATCTATAAAATTTATCTATAAAATCTATAAAATCATTAGTTAAAATCTATAAAAACATTTTTTATTATTTATTTGTAATCGTCAAAAATATTTTTTATTATTTATTTGTAATTAATAATGGAATTTCATTGCACATATGATCAAATGGAGGATAATTATTTAATCATTCTAACGATGATTGATAAAAGTTTAAATAAAATAAATCGTTCATTATTATAAATTGAAAATAATAATCTATTTATTGAAATTATTGATCCCAATGATGAAATGAAATTTCAACAACAATAAGAATGTAGACAATCAGAATATCGTCGTGGTATAAAAATATAGCTTTGCTGTTTCTCTTGATAATTGAGACATGGCGTGTCAAATAATTACACGTGTATTACGACCAAGGAGAAATGGATCTAAATATCTATAGTGCAATTTTCTATACAAATGCAGATACGACGTGACAACTTTCGTATACTATCGTATTCTATGGCTCCGCAGATCCCGATAACACCCTTTTATGTCCTTTGAAGCATGAAAGGAAACGAAACGATAGAATATCCAAATGATACCGTAATGATGACAATGAATCTCAATAACAGGGATTAGACGCGGGTCAATAAATACCGCCATTGATAATACCGGAGGATCTCGTCTTAATGGTTCCAGAGGATCTTAAACAGTCAGTCACTCTGACGGAATGCCGTATCATTCGCAAACTCTCAGACAATGTACGCTCCGAAATCCAAGAACACCCGTCTGAAGTGTACCATGAATACTGTACGTGGTCTGCATGAAATCAGATCGGAGTATCGTTTACCGCGCATTTGCCAACAGAACGTAACAAAGTGACACGGTGTGTCCTCTCACACATCGGAAGGAACCGATTTCTGACAGTATTCCGTCATTGCCCGTGCTGTTTGGAATCTAAAGTTAAATTCAGAATAGAAAAAAAAAAAAGAAGTATTCGAATCTAGACACGCCGCGATAATTTATTGCACGTTGGCTCGAAAGTTCGAATTTTTTTGTTTCGTTCTTTTGTGGAAAAGCGGAAATTTATGTGTGGAGTTTCGATTAGAGCTCGAGTGAACGACTTGTCAGAGTCGGGACATTCCGCCTCTTGTCGTAAATTTATTGAGACGTCCGCGAAGAATAAAGGCGTGGCCCAAGAGAGAATTGACCAAGCCAGCGGATAATTTCGTGCGATCATATCTGTTTTTGCTACCGGCCTACTTTAATATTTCGGGCAACATCGAGTGCCCACACGTACGGCCAACAGAAACGCCACAGCGTTGGAGTATATCCAGGGTTATAGCGGTCCGCTGGATTTATCGGCGAACCTAGCCGCCCTATGTAAATTTCAATAAGCTACAATGTTCGATTATCTTACGAGCATCTTCATTCCTACCTGTACAAAGAAACACCGGATCCTGTATACTGAACTGAATAGGTATTAAATCATGCGAGCAAGAGAACGTCCAAGAATACAATTTTACGGCCAGAGGAATTAAGAGTATATTGTTGGTATTTTAAACGAGCTACTAAAAGTCAAAACTTACTCGCTGGAGTAACTTGTTAACTGCAAAACATCTTGTCTGTTAGAACTTGGGATAATTATAATTTTTATATTATATAGTTATATATTATGATATCATAATTATAATCTTACATTATATAGTCATTATATAATTATATATCATAATATTATAATATAATATAAATTATAATATATGCTTATTGTCAGTTTGGAATCTTTGTAAATATTAATTATCCTAAATATTACAATTTAATAAATATAATATAATATAAATTATAATATATGCTTATTGTCAATTTGGAACCTATGTAAATATTAATTATAATATTATAATTTAATAAATAATATATTATAATTTAATAAATGTAATTTAATAAATAATATAATATAAATTATAATATAATTATAAAATTATAATATACGCTTATTGTCAGTTTAGAATCTATATAAATATTAATTATCCTAAATATTATAATTTAATAAATATAATAATATAAATTATAATATAATTATAAAATTATAATATATGCTTATTGTTAGTTTGGAATCTATATAAATATTAATTATCCTAAATATTTAATAAATATAATATAATATAATATAATAAAATATAGTATTATGTTATATTATAATATTTAGGATAATTAATATTTATATAGATTCCAAACTGACAATCCTAAATATTATAATATAATATAATATAATATAATATTAGTATTACATTATATTATAATATTTAGGATAATTAATATTTATATAGATTCCAAACTGACAATAAGTATACTTACTAAAACGAGACGAAATGTTAGTTAGCGATCAGTTAAATGAATTTGTGCAAATTGAATCCGCTAAATTATCGATTTGGACGAGAAATCAGTAGAAAGAACTGACGAGTTTCCATTATACGAAGGCACATGCAGAAACTGTTTGTCTCGCAACGGCTTCGGATAAATGGAGTTCTACAATACAGCGGGAAATCTAGGTATTCTTGGAAACTCCGGCTCGAACGCAATACTTAATGCAGCACCGTGGAACGTAAAGACAGAAGATATATGGAATCAGTGGGGTAGTAGACCGACGAAAACGTACGATCTTAAATATGTATGCTCATACCGAGTGTCTTATTTGAATCTTACTCTTATCTCCAATCGAATTAAATTCAAAAAAAGACGAACTGACCATTTTTGAAGATACATGCAATTCAATTTCATCGTTCAACAACAAATGATTCAGTGCTCGACAATGCACATTTTAATTATCCCGTCTTTTCAATTTAGGAGACTTTACGCGCACGGCAGCGATCTCACGCGCGTCACCGTGCATTCCAACCTCCGCGTACATTCTTAGAAATCGCAACCAGCGGTCTGTGTCCAACATAAACATTCAACTTCTTCCACTCGATCCTCTCAATCGCTCCTCGTCCGCGCTAGACTCGGCAGATCACCCACTCGGCGCAGAGTCTATGACTCAATCAGATCCACGCTAGCCACACGTACATATCAAGCTATTCGCTTTGAAACATTGCCTCCCCGCGAACGTGTCGGTTTTTTTCAATGAGAAACCGGCGTGCACCCTTATTAAAGCGAGGCGGCACAGCACTGCCTGGAAAAGATATTGATTTTTCGCTTTCGTTCCCTCCACCAATAGACATGCATGTACACACCAAGGTATTCACGTACAAGTGTGCGAGTTGTACGAGCAAAGCAAACCGATCCAAACGATCGTCGAGTTCCCGCGCGTATAGCGCGTCAACGTAAATAGAAAGTGGCAATAGTTGATCGATTTCGATGGGCGCCGCGCCGGAAGCCCGCCAAAGGGCTACGTTCTTTGACGGAAGTCGCCCCAGAGGGACTTTGTCCTAATTTCTCTCGAGGAAACACGCACGTACGTAGGTCTACGCTTTTATAGTGAAATTATTTTATCAAAAACCAATGTCTGTCTGCAAACAATGTGTAAACGAGCATGTCCGGTTACGTATGTGCATGCAATTCTGGCTCTGGCCAGTCTATACTACACTCCCAATTCATTGCAAGTGCGGCGTTACTCTTGCAACCGCGTGTGTCACGGATTTACGACGCGTCCCATCCATTCTCGTTCATTGAAATTTCCTACCGGCTGAAAGCGTGCCACTGGATTGCAAAATAGTTTTCCAGACGTTGCCGGACAAATCGATGTGTATCCATTATGCACCTCTTTCCTCTCTTTCTTTCTTTCTTTCCTGCCTTCTTCCCCGCGGGACGAACCGCGGAGTTTAAAAGAGACCAAACGTAAAATATTCGTAACAGGATGTTCCGCAGCGATAGATCCGTAGCAGTGTGCGATGCATGTACACACGTGTACGTGTAGGACGTACGTGCAGGTTCATATATACGCTATTTGTTGGCGAGAAATTTCCACCAAGATGGCGAATTTGTTACTTTTCTTCCTCTAAGTGCAGCTAGGTTTCCAAACCCTTTTCCTCTGCTGTACTCTTTACATTAGGCTTCTCATTTATGAGTTACCCTTTCCTCTCATAAAAATAAAATACCTTCCACCCATTCTTCAAAAATGTTTTTTTTTCTTTTATTAATTTTCCTATGTCAGCTAAATAATCAAATATAAAATAACATTGCTGAAGGCGGAAAACGCCAAAAGAAAAGGAGTTAAAATAAAAACACAGAAGCAAAGTTATAGAGTTCTGATTTACAAAGAGAGACTTAACTCAAATTAACCTAGTGACATTTGTAGGCTTTTATTTTCGATTTCACATTTTAATTACACTGTAATGGCAGCATTTGTTACTTTTCTCCCTCTAAGTGCAGCTAGGTTTCCAAACCCTTTTCCTCTGCTGTACTCTTTACATTAGGCTTCTCATTTATGAGTTACCCTTTCCTCTCATAAAAATAAAATACCTTCCACCCATTCTTCAAAAATGTTTTTTTTTCTTTTTTTAATTTTCCTAGGTCAGCTAAACAATCAAACGAAACTAACTCAAATTAACCTAATGACATTTGTAGGCTTTTATTTTCGATTTCACATTTTAATTACACTGTAATGGTAGCCTAACATAAAATTGAAACAAATAATAACAAGCACAAGTCTCGCTTTGTAAATCAGAACTCTATAACTTTGCTTCTGTGTTTTTATTTTAACTCCTTTTCTTTTGGTGTTTTCCGCCTTCACCAATGTTATTTTATATTACCACATGGTTAGAAACCGCTGCTCTAGTGGATCTTTTTCTCGTTTTCAAAATATTTT